AAATAACATTGTTTTTGATGAGTCAAGATTTAGGGACAGGAGACTAAGGGAACATTGAGACGCAGTTAGTTTAGGTGTGATGTACTGATGAACCCTAGGAAGACACTTAAAGAAATAGGTAGGAAGAGACAACAGAAATATTTTAGATATTTCTCTGTAAAGAAATGAGATGAAAAGAGAAAAAAAAACCTTCAAGCCTTTGCTGCAGCAAGGTCTAGTTGTTACTATGTTTAAAAAGGACTAAAATTGATTATAAAACATCCATCTAAAAAGAGGTGAGAAAAAAAAGACATTAATTAGACTTCATGGTGTAAAGTTCTAAATGTGTGGTTTTAAGATATGTGAAGAAATATTTTCACTTTCACACACATTAAATGATCTGACACTGTAGCTATTTTTGAAATAGCTTATTTCATTATTAACATTAATAGTATTCTTTTACAACTTTCAGAGCAATTTTACATTGATTATTTCATGAGGTTTCTATGCAATAGGAAGCATAGAAATGCTTTTAGTTTGTGTAACACTTAAATTATCTTATTTGATGCAGTCCTACTATACAGTTCCTTTTACTCATTCTATTCACTCACTATCAAAACCTTTGAACTTTTATTTTTCTGGCCACAAAACTCTGCTTACATACATCTGCCAACTTCTTCACCTGGAGGATTTCTAATTCATCCTTTAAAACTGGCCACTGCAAGGACTGGCCTTCCTCAGCTGGATGTGCATGTTTGTGTATGTGTGTGGAGGTAGGTGGAAGTCTTCAAGAGGGCAGAAACTGGTAATATCACCTTTGCTTGAGGTCGACCAGTAGGCTTTGGCTTCAGTGGCTCCTCCCTTACAATACCCAAGCTACCTTAATGAGCAAAACCCAGATTCTCATGAGCGAAATCACATCTAAATAACAACAGCTTTTGCTGTGGTACTCAGTTTAGCTGAGGGACCCAATTTTGATAAGGTACACCATAGCTATGCAGACTTGGGATGGCTAATGAACTGACAATTTTCAAATTTCAAAAAATTATAATACATTTAACTTTACTTAAATTTAATTATAACAAAGAACCTGTAGTAAGCCTGAAAAAAAAATGCTTGAACTTTAACGTCTTCAATACAATAGATGTTAATTCCTACAAGTTTTTTCTGAAGTTATGATTTATAGCTGGAGTTCAATTTTGTTTAAACTGCCTATTACTTAAATAGCTTAAGTTTCCAAGGTGTAAAGCTGACTCAGATGTATCATAGGAATCAGAAGAGAGTGCTTATGTCTATTAAAGATCAAAAATTTGAAACCTTTTTTTAATTTTTGAAGAACAAGTTTTAAAACTTACATTTCCTTTCAGGATGATTTTCCAAAAGAAATTAATTGACAAAGGTTGGTCTATAAACATAATGTTCTATAAAAGAGATAAATTATCTTCAGGGTAACAAAGAAATACATCATGGAGAACTGATTAGAGACTGTATCTATTATAAATCCCAAATGACTATGCATTGATTCAAGCATCTGTCAGTCTTCTCTAAATTACTAGACTAGTGGGTTAGTGTTTCCTGTTCAGGACTCTGAGTTATACATGTCCATCAAATGCTCAGATTCAGGTAACATTTTACCTTGTTTTATGTTTGAATAGTGACCTAACACAGGTTTTCTTTTTTTCTCTTCTTAGAATTTTTAATTCCCACTTCTTTTCTTATTTATAGAAAAGGAATATGCCTTCTTCTCTTCATCATTAATCATGATCATCTTAATCATAAAATGTGTGTAATGCTATCAATTTTATTCTTGAGAATATGCTTCATAGAGCTAACTGATGTTTGGTTCTAATTTGTACCAATTTAACTTGTAAATTTACATCTGTACCAATTTCATTTGTAAATCATGAATCTTAATCTAACATTCATTACTTTCTCATTTTTGTAAAAAAAAAAAAACGGTCATTTTCTATTTTGTCTTTTTAATGCATGCATTTGATGTTTTTGGACAGACGCACACACTCATGAAACTTTGTTTTGTCTTAACAGTCATGATAATTGTATTTTCCCTGCTAGTGATTGCTTTGAAGATATATATGAATACAATTCTGACCAATGAGAAATAAGAGTAAATATGCTAATGGTTCTGGAATAGTTTTATTCACTGATTAAAAGTAGAGAGAAAGGGCTAGCATAGAGGAAGAAATTTTTTTTTCTTTTTCGTTTTGGCCATCTTGTAATCTGGAGGCAACTTTTCAGAAGGTGGCAGAGTAGAAAGTTGAAAAGAAATTAGATCTTTGGTGAAAAAAAAAAACTGAACCAATGAATTAATCTACCCTGGAGCCTTGCTAACTCAGAATGCTCTGATTCTTGAAATAATACATTTTCTTTATTGTTTAAACCAGTTGAGTTAGGACTTTCTGCTACTTATAGCTAAAGGCATCCTAACTAATTAGCTGACAGTTCAGAATTTTATTTCATTGGAATCCTAGGTTTGTTCCCCAGCTCTTTGTCTCTCACGTCTTACTTTTTTATTCTTTTTCTGTTTTGCTTAATTTTATTTTCAAATAAGTTTTCTTTTGTCTGAAAGAGTGCTTATGGCCTACACTTACTGAATCATTGCATATTTGAAAAT